GTTGGTTATGATGATCCTCGACAAGGTATTGAAACATGTGGTATTGTTGAATTTATGCATAGTTTTGAAATTCTTACACGAATTACGGGTGATTGTATATGGACTGATCGATGTGAAACATTAGCATTTAATACATTACCAGCTGCATTCGATCCATTTGTTGCACGTGGTACACATTATATAACTTGTGCAAATTGTATTCAACTTGATGATCAAGTTAAAAGTCAACAACAATTTGATAATAATTTTGCTATGCTTTCATATAAACCAGGTGTTCATCAATATCGTTGTTGTACGCATAATCATGGAATGGGTTGGCCATATTATGCTGAAGAAGCATGGTTAGCAACATATGATGGTGGTTTATGTGCATCATTATATGTATCAAGTCAAGTAACAGCATTAGTTGGTCCAAATGATGGTATCAAAGTAACAATTATTGAAGAAACAGATTATCCATTTGATGGAAATATTCAATTTCGTTTTCAATTATCAACATCCATACAATTTAAACTTTATTTACGTGTACCATATTGGTGTAAACGAGCACCAATACTTTCATTAAATGGAAATATTCTATTTAATGAAATAACACCAAATAATGGTTCATATCTTATTATTGATCGTCTTTGGATAAATGATGATGTTTTATCATTGACATTACCATTATCATTAAGAATAAAAACTTGGACATCAAATCATAATTCTGTTTCATTATCCTATGGTCCTTTAACATTTTCATTAGGTATTAGTGAACAATATAATCGTATTGGTGGTACAGATGATTGGCCAGAATTTGAAGTAATATCAAAATCAAATTGGAATTATGGTTTAGTTATAACAAGTGCAAATGAATGGTTAATTAAACGAAAAAAAAAGAAAAATAATTATGAAAATCCTTTTACAAAAGATACTGCACCACTCAATATTGAAGTTCGAGCTCGTCGTATTCCTGAATGGAAAGCAGATAGTCAAAATGTTGTTGGATTATTACCACAATCACCTGTTCATAGTCAAGAATCTGATGAAATGATTACATTAATACCAATGGGTGCAGCTCGACTTCGTATAACGGCATTTCCTACAATTGCTCAATAATTTTGTATTTTTATTTTAATTGATTTTTCTTAATTAATTTTTATTTAACAGATATCATTATGTAATAAATTAAAACCGTGATATTTACAAATAATAATCTTCTTTTTTTTTTTGGTTTCTGATTTTAATTTTCTATCAATTAACGAATTCATTTTAACTAATATATGTGAATATTGAAATTTATATAATACTTTTTTTAAATGTTCGTAAATCAAAAAATCAATCATTGTAGAACGTGTAGATAAATAAATATTTTTATTGTATTTTATTTTTAGATACATATTTTCTATTGAAACTGAATATGTCTCAACTTTGTCGTCTTATACCTCGTACAACATGGAACATACTCTATGTATCACGTATGAGCGCACATAATCTTCCACCTGGTACACCAGTTAAAGTACCTGAAGCTAAAGGTGGACATCATATTGTTTCTGGTTCTGGCCAATTTATTGCTACAGATGGTCCATCTGGTACAGAACGATCAGGAGTTGGTGGTGGTAGTAGTGCTAGTATGCTACCAGGTGCTCAAACAGCTCATCATAGAGCTGCAAGCCAATCCCATAGTTCAACAAGTGGTCAAAATAAAAAGTATGAATAAAAATATAATTGATCATTTGTTTTTCTCTAACTGAATTTTTTTTTCTCATTTACAGACATTAATCAATTTTAGAAATACTAAATAAAGTGAAGAACATCATCCAAAGAAATCCTCAAAAAACCGCCCATCCATTAGCAAATATCATATGATATTGAACAAATCCATTTTCCTTCCTATGATGTGAAAACCAAAACTAAAATAGTTCACTCTTTTTTTTTTTCTTCTGATTATTCTTTAATAAAATCTAAAGAGGATGTAGACTAAAAATATACTTGTCTTTCGTCAATACATTACCTCCACTGATTTCATATGATCAGATTACTAAAACTGCACCAATGTCAAACAATTTCAAGTTTACTACTTGTTGGATCACTAGCCTTCTAGCAATGTAAAAAAGGCCATATTAACTCTCGTAAATACGTATTACAGAGAAAAAAAATTCAATGATGATATTGGTTTTATTCGTTGTAGAACATAAAAAAATAACAAAATAGAATGAATAGTTATTAAATATAACTATTAGTAGAACAAACCCAATAGTAGAGACAGATGAACATGTAGATGTGAAAATTAGCGTAATAAAACTCATTAATTGGCCTATTTTATGGTTTGGAATCAGGTTATATTAAAGGTTTTAATTAAAATATAAATGATAGATTTCTGAACTAATTTAGAAAAAAAAACATAACATGCTGATTAAGGTTCTGTCGTTTGAAGTTCTCATTGGTCATAGTTTATCAATTAAAGAAATGATAAAGATTTTTGCCAATGCAACTTGATTGTCTATTTGCATTGGATATTATTCTTTTATGCAAATATAATAGTAAGCCACACTAAGATCGTCTATTTTGTACATTCTGCAAAAAAAAACAAACTATCTAGTGGTAGGATGGTGCTATTTTGGTATGTACATACGTAGGCGTATGGAACGAGGAAAAAGATAAGAAATTAGAATTGTTCTACTCGTCTCTTTTCACCCGGAATAGTTATTTTTTTCTGTTCTCTATAGGAATACCAATATCAGCGAACTATCTATATGTATATATATATATGCCATCATTCTTTTCCATTCTCATAACAAAAAAATCATATATTCTATAGATAGAAACATATTAACAAGACAGTGTGATATACTTTTCTTTTTTCTATCTAATATTAAGGAATGGCATCAAAGGATCAAATTATTCTTGGTTATTGGGATATTCGAGGCTTTGCTGAACCATCTCGTTTATTACTTCATTATACAAAAACACCATTTACAAATAAATTATATCATTTTGGTGATGCACCAAAATTTGAACGTGAAGAATGGCTTAAAGAAAAAAATTCTTTAGGTCTTGATTTTCCAAATTTACCATATTTAATTGATGGTAATTTAAAATTATCACAAGCTAAAACAATTTTAACACATCTTGGTCGTAAATTTAAATTAATGGGTAATAATGAAGCTGAAACATCAATGATTGAATTACTTATTGATCAATCTAATGATTTACGACAAGAATTAAATAATGTTTGTTATCGTGCTATTAATTTTGAAGCTGTAAAAAAAAAATTTTGTGACGAAACTTTACCAATACATTTAAAATTATTTGAAGATTTTCTTGTACGACAAGGAAAAAAATGGTTAATAAGTGATACAATAACAGCAGCTGATTTTCAATTATTTGAATATCTTGATCATTGTTGGCTTTTATCAAATGATGATTGGGCTGAATACCCTAAAATACTTGCTTATATGAAAGCATTTAGAGAATTACCTGAATTAAAAAAATATCTCGATAGTGAACATGCTAAACGTCCAATAAATGGTAAAATGGCTAAATTTGGTGGGGTAGTTGTTCAACATGAAACAAAAAAGAAAGAAGAACCACCAAAAACTGAAGAAAGTGAACCACCACCTCCAACAGCTTAATTATCAATACGCTGTTAATTAAATTCATAGTCTTATCGAATTGCATATTAAGAAAATTAAAATATATATTTGTGCTGTTATGCTCAGGACTGAATGAAAAGAAAAATATTATAGTTGCTTTGTTCTTTTGTTTATTATATAATTAAATAATATTCTCGCTCTGTTCAAAACTTTCACGAAAGTAAAAAAAAAAAAAAAAGAAGAAGAATAAATCGAACTTATGCTTTTTATGTTGATGTTATTTTTGTTTTATTTACTTAGACACTATGATTAACAATCTTCATTATATTGCTCAGTTTGAACGATACGCCCGTTTATGGTTAATGTACCATATGTGAATAGATCATATTCTGACCATAATTTTGCGGTCAGTGATACGATCGTATCATAATGACATAATGATTTAGGGTGTGAGGGCATGTTTGGATGGAGAGGAAACCCACAGTTCCACTCTTACTTCTTCTATTTTATATTATTAACTATTGGCTATTGCTAGCAAATGAGTCTTCATTCATCCAACTCTGATGAGACATATTTCAGGAGTGATCAATGGAATAAATGAATTAGAAAAACCTAAGAAGATGAAACGTTGACGCAAAAACAAATATCAAAATTTTTAGATTATTTTCCTTTTTTTGGTAAAAACGAATTTTTTGACTAAAACAAAGTGAAGAATATTCCCAGATGCTGACGTACACTATGTTTGTAAGTGTATTGAGAATTTTTGTATTTTTATTAAAATAGAAGAAAATAAAATAATCTCAACACTTTGTTCTACTTGTCAAGATTTATACATCCTGAAGATTTCCGATTTTGTTGATGAATCTGTTCTTCCGAAACTCTGGCAAGTGTGACTTTCATGTCATAAAATTTTTCATCACGATTAAATAACTCATAATTCTTGCATGATGTAATCACTAAACATTACTATAAGAAAAGCTTTCGATTTTAGCATTCAAACTTAATAATTTTATCTCTTAACAAAAAGAATCGATTCAATTTTTTTTTGTTTTCGTATCAATGTTCAATATTTCATTTTTAATTTGCATCAAATCAACATTGATCAAATAGAGGTAATCGTGCCATATAATCATTATATTCATTTGATACAAGAAAACAATAATATTGAAAAAAAGCATCGAGTTCACAACTATGTCCATAATTGTTGCCTGTATCGATCTTTGAAAATTCAATATTACCATAAAAATATTGTGCATATCCCGATGATGACATATGAGAATTAGGAAAACAGGAAAAGAAAAAAAAAATGAAAAGTGGCGCCATCATTCTCAATGACAAGAAGGTTCAAGAGCAATATTTTCATTGGACATATGTCGAAAGAAAGATAATTCAAATGAACTACATATTTCTGTAAAAAAATAAAAAATGTCTCGTAATAAAGAAAAACAGAACAATGAATTAAATCGATTATATTTATCAAAATTAAAACGACGTAAGTTCAAAAAAAATTATCAAAAATTTCTGAATTGTTTTTTTTCTTTCTTTTTATATAGCAAAAGTTAAACGACCACATTTAGTAAGTTCTCATATCCAATAATAATTCAATACTAAACTATTTTTATTCAGTCTCAAATTCATACAGTTGATGAACTTCGTCGATGGTTACCAATAATTGAACGTGAAATTCATCTAACATTAGCAGTATGACAATTAATCATTTTTTCTATTCATATGAAATATTTTCTTTAGCAAACAACATCTGTTCGTTATACGAATGAAAAAGTTGAATCAATGTATAAACAAATATCAGAATTAGAAAATGAACATAAAAATTTTCGACGAAAAATAGCTCAAGTAGAATTAGGCGCTAATGTCAATGTTCTTACAAAAACAATTCCAGTTGAAAAATCTATTCATTTTTATACGAAAAAATCAATTAATCATCGTAGGTTTATCTTGAATAAGAAAAAAACAACGAATTCTTAATTTTTTTAATTTTAGAACATGAAACTTTGAATGAATTTTTTAATAAAAAAATTGATCTACCACTTCTATCAATGAATGATTATCAAATAGAATCATTAGAAAAAAATTTAACAGTGATTAATAATGATAAACCATTGAAAAATAATACTCTTGTTGATTATTCGGATTCTGATTGACTTTTTTTTTTTAATGTTTCAGATGAGTTTAAATACACGTAAAAAACGAAAGAAAGAACTTCGAGAAGAATATATTGAACAAGATGGTTTAATATTTCAATTACCTGATGAAATACTTCTTTATTTATTTAAATACCTTTCTACAGAAGAAATTATTCTTGCTGCTGGGTTAGTAAATTATAACAATTCTCTAAACTTTATTTAGATATATTTCAAATAAGAATAGATCAAACTGATATCAATTCTGAAAAAATAGTATGTTATTAACAATATTGTCACTTCTACATAATAATCGACGTCTGTCTAAACCAAACAGATGTTAGATGTATCTTCAAAGTTGATATTGATTTTTATATCGTAAAGATATTTATAACATACTTTTGCATGTTTACTAAAAAAGTTTGATGAAATCTCTGTCAACATTTGTACTTTCGATCAAAGTTGAGATAATCATATAAAACATTTTTTGAATTATGATTTCTTTTTTTTTTTTTTTAGTGTTTGTAAACTATTTCGTCGTATTGCTTATGATGATAAATTATGGAAAATAATTGATTTAACAAGAAAATCTTATTCAAATCGAGTATTAGTTAAATTTTTTCGTCGTTTTTCTCATCCATGTACAGAAATATTAAAAATATCAGGTGCACCTAATGGAAAAAAAACAAAAAATAATCTTATTAAATTACCACCATATACAGAACAATTAAGTTATTTTATTCGTACATCATATCCAAATCTTCATTATCTTCATATATCAAAATATGATTTTCGAGATGATTCAACAGCTTGTAAAAATATTACATATTTACCAACAAATCTTCGAAGTCTTTATTTAACAAAATGTGAAATGTTAATGACAAGTATTCAAGGTACATCTGATTTTTTAAAAATTCCTAAAATTCCATTAAAAGGTTCAACATCAAATTTTTCACTTGAACAATTAGAAATATTATCATTTGAACAATCATCATGTCTTGGACTTGTATCTGTACGTTATATACCAGATTTATGTCCAAATTTAATTGAACTTAATCTTAATGGTTGTTTTCGTATAACACGTACACGTACATTTACTGATACATTACTTTCATTTCATAAAACACTTCAAAGACTTTATTTAAAAGAAACACAAGTTGATGATGATACAATTCATTGTATATGTCGAAAATTAAAATTTTTAACTATACTCGATATAAGATTATGTAAATATGTTACAAAAAATATTATAGAAAATTTATTAACATTAAAAAAATTAGAACAATTATTCGCAGATGATGTTATTAAAATTGAATATGAACAAAGAAAATTAAATGAAAAATGATGAAATTTTTTGTAGTTATACATTTATATGTAATAAATATGATTTATTCAACTAATTTAGAATTTAATATTTGTATCACACTTTTATGAATGAGAAATAAATTTCTTCCGTAAAATCAATATCAGATATATATATAAATGATTGACTGTTCTGTATAATGAAAACAAGCTTTATCTACAGGATCTTTTCAAAAGTTCTTGGTGATTATTTACAACAAATATTGACAATAATTACCATCTTTTGAAAGGGATAAAACTGCAATTTTCGAAATCTTTGAAAAAAAAATATTCTAGAACGTGCACATTCTTAGGAATTTATTTCTGCTATCGGTTCTTATGTTGAATTCAAGGATGTGGGTAGATGCAGATCTTTTGTTATATTACATCAACACCCATCCCACAACCTTTATTTGACAAAGATATAATTAGTAGCGCAACCGATATGTGTCGCGCGTTTATTGGCACTACTGCTGAAAATATACCAACAAGATATTTAAAAGAGAACAAAGTACTGAAGAGACTTTTCGTAATTTATTTCGCTGTACAAATAGCTGATACTAAGTTATTGACAAATAGTACTTTTTGGAATTTAATGTCTCTTCAATGACTGAAACTCACACATAGCATAGATATAATTTGATTCGAATATAGAATGAGACAGATAAGAATAAAAAGAAACCGAGTAGGTTTATTATATACGTCGTAACTAAATCTATCTTGTGATACAAGGAAGAGTAGGACATACTTCTTTGGTAATCTTTACAATACATTTATTTACTTAGACTCTATGCTATTTGTATTTATTGATTCACATGTTTAGTTTTCTAATAGGAAGATCTTTTCGCTCAGTCCGAAATTCATCTTGTTGATATCTAGTTTAGATTTTGGTCAAAATATAAAATTCATGCATATATATATATATTCTCTTTTCTAACAAATACCTACCATTTCTGAAATGATCACAGTTTAAAACATGTAGAGAAAATGTTAAGCGATACTTTCTTTTATTTTAGGCCAAGTTAGATGGTTGAATTGTTGATTATCCTGACATATATATTCTGAACAAAGTATGTTTCTTGAAGAAAAATTTAAAAAGATGATTCTAATCATAAATTGATCATGTAACTCATAGGTTCGAAGAAAAAGTATGATGTTATTTTAACGTTCGTTTCTTGCATTTAATAAACCAAATTTCGATTTTATTTGCAATTCATGTATATTTTCAAAATTTTATTCTACTTCAAAATGCATATGTTTTTTTTCCTGAGATATAAGGCTTTGAATATGATATAGAACAAATGGTTCACTATCAATAAAGATAATTTTCTTTTTTAACGATCCAGTTAATAAAAGCTTTTTTTTTTTTTTTAGTATGAATATTGATAATAATCATATCTGTAAATGCTTAGAGAAATATTGAAAAAAACTTTCAACAAGTATATCTGTTTTTTTCTTTGCATTATACATCACTTTGATAATATTGATTGCAAGTTGTTTCTGTGGATTGCTTGATATTAGAAAATAAGCTTTTTTATCGTATGTTCTTTTGTGTTGTAAATTAAAACATGATACTCAGTAATACAACTTTTATGTTGTTTTTCTTTTGAAAATAGAAGAACTTTTGTTTTAGTATTAGACTGAAAAACCGTAGATGGTAATTTGAAGCAGATATATGGCTATACAATTTGTAGCATAAAACAGTATCAGAAGAGATCGAAATATTATGTATGATTGTGACAAAAGGTTTTTCTTCTTTCCATGGCGAATTGTCTCACTAAATACTATTACCTATTGACTCTATGGATCGATAGTTATAGCTTTGTTCATCATTTTTAATTGTTAGAAAAATCCAATAATGATCCAACAATTGATAAAGACAATCAAGGATACTTGAATCATTAACTTTATTAACATTTGCAAAACAAGAAAATTTTTAATTGATATATTATGATTTGGAACTATTGTTTTTTAATAGGCCTAGTGAAAGGAGATTTACAAAGTTAAAAGTTCTATATTAAGAATTTTAGATTTTACTAATTCGTATAGTTTCAAAATTTATTCTGAATGTTTGAACGATTACTTAACATGTAGTCATCAGTAATAATATACAAAAAATCGAGTTTATTATGGAATTTGACTGTTTATAGATTATAGATAAACGGTAAATTCAACAAAAAGATTATGATGAGAGATTCAAGTATCTTTATTTTATCTTTGTTTTACTTATCTTTCAAATATTTGAATATATGAAAACTCTTTTCTAAATAACAATCATCAGTATAACTCATTTCACTTTATAATAATGTTCACATGAACAAAATTTTGCTTATTTCTAATGCATTATTCGAAAAATCATTTAAGTTTTTGAATGGAAGAAGATAAGCGGAAAATTTTTATCAAGAATATTCACAGATATAAATAATTCATCATTTATCATCATAAAAACATGATTTAAATTTCATATTAATCAAATAAATTCTAATCCTATTCGTTATTATTTACTACGAACTATCAGTAATGATAATGTCATCCTGTTATTCCAAAAAAACTCGATGTAATCCAGAATTTAATTTAATTAATTAGTTCGAAATCGACATCAACATTAGTACGAACAGAAGCAAGGTGACATTCCTTTTCCTTGCTAACACAAAATGTTTTTCTATAGGCCTTGTATTATAAAATAACCTACAGTTCAATCGGCATTAAGCCTTTTCTAATATGAAACAATGAAATGTCCGAAAATATAAACTCCTACGTTCGATCTATATGAATGCATTGAGAAAATAATTATTATTTTCAAGAATAACAAGAACGCTAACAAGACAAAAATGCAGCCAACGATTAATATGTTCCTTTTTGGACAACCTGATTATAATATTTTTTACTCATTTATTAATGCAAAATATGTCTACAGAAGAAACTATTAATATTGATCATACTAGTAATAGTATAGTGTTTCTATTTGTGCTGCGCGCGAACATTGCTCCTATAGATAGAGCAAAAATAGGTTGAAACAACTTTTGATGAAGACAAGCTGAAGGAGACAGAAGAGCAAAAAAAACAAGAAGAGAAGAAATAGGAATCTTGACCAGACACTGATGAAGATATTAATCATGTCATCATCTTAGTCGATTAGGTATAAAATAAAAAGAATGTTTTACTTAAAAAAGTTTATTAAGATAAATTTTAGCCAACTAGTCATATTCAGCATTTAATGTTTTCAAACGAAACAAAAAGAAATCATATGATCAAAAATAGTACATATAAAAAGGACACCTAACTTAGTATGAAGGCCATTTGCTTTCATACTTTTTTGAGTAAAATGCATCGAGAGCTAATAATACTGTTGTCGTATTTCATGAAATTCGCCCACTGACATTTCATTGCACATAGTGGATGGTCGAACTATTGAAATCGAAACAAAGATGATCTTATCTTGAATATTATGCCTTCAACAAAAAATTCATTATTTATCTTCATAATTGTCAGCTATGTATCGATGATCATTATTAAATAATTATGACCAAAAATTGCGTTATGCAAAAATAAGTCAAGTGATTAATATTCACTGTGCAGAAATCGTAAACTCATGGAATTCTAAGAAATGAACTGCGATTCAGTATTTGGAGCACCAAAATCAGGATTGTATGTGTTAGTTTTTGTAAACTCGTCCTTGG